GTACAGAGTTACGTTGTGTCAGCCGTAATAAGGTTTGGCATCCGATATCGCTGGCAACTTGGCGTGTGGCTAAGTAATCATACAGGAACCTTAGAAAAGTGTATCTGAGAATATCATGTAATGTATTCTTTCATAACAACTGGGATTAGGTAGAAAAAAATACAACTACCTTATCTATTGTGATATAATAGATGTGTTTGCATGATAAGTCGGATCTGCTATGTACTGACATAACCTTTGTGGCATAAATATAAGATATAACTAAAAGGGTTTCCCCATGGATGAGCAGGTAAATAAAAAGATAAAAAAAAAAAGTAATTCACAGACCACCTACGACTTAAAAACGGTTACTTTATCATGCAACATAGGTTGATGTCATGCAATAATTCAGGCTTCATTCTAAATTATGTTGCAAATGAATCAAAATGATAAGAGCTATGAACTTGGGAAATGATATCTTTCGCCATCTTTTACCTATTCATTACGCGCTCCTCATGAGGCCGGTTTGTGCGAGGCCTGACCCAGTGAGTATTTACATATACAGACACGCATATGCACAGAAATAAATGCGTATCTCTCTCTCTCTCTCTCTCTGTCTGTCTCTCTCTCTCTCTCTCTCTCTCTCTCTCTCTCTCTCTCTCTCTCTGTCTCTCTTTCTCTCTCTGATATGTATATACATTTATCTATCTATCCGGCAGATTTAGACTGATAGATATGCATTCACTTCTGTGCATGTGCATGTCCGTATAAAGAAGATTCATTGGGTCGGGCCTCGCACAATTTTGACAAACCTGCCGATGATGTCTCAAAATCTCTCAGAATTTTTAGGGATAGCTAAAGTATTCTTGGGCTACAACGGTCATCCGAAATTAAGAGTAAATGTTTGTGACCTCTGAAAAATAATATCTCTTTTGTGTTGATTTGATATATCAATATAATGATAAAAATAAATATCTCCTCTTTTAGTGATATTTTGCCGCGCTCTTGTAGTCTTAATTGTTTTTCTGGTTATTATCATTTCGATATTCACACATATCTTGTATATATAATGATTAATTAGAATAAATAATGATTTCTGTTTTCGGTGGCTTGTCGAAATGTTAAACCTAATTTGATTTTTTTAATGTAATTTCCGCTTTGAACAGTTGTGCTTTTACTTGTTACATAAATAAATCAGATCAGCAGACCCTTGAAGTTCAAGACATGCAAAATCTACGAAGTAAAATATACTAATGTAATGGACAGATGAATCTTAATGATGAAGAGGCAGAATTCATCAGAAAAACTACATGCTGATAATAACATCTGTAAGAATATGTACGAAAATGTTTCGTTTGTATTTTAGACATATCATATCATTATATATTTTTTCTTCGCTGTATCATTGTTGTATTTTTTTCTTTTATTTCTTGGGCATTATATTTAATTTGTATAATAAAATAACTCTGATAAGTAAAATAAAATAACGTCTGGCAAACGGCGAACCATAATACAAACAGGAAAAAAACAACATAATTCAAGGTGGAGTAAGGAAATTACGATCAAAAGCACTTTAAGGTATTTATTTCATAGAATCTAGTTGCGATGTTTTGAGTGGTCGAAATATTTCTGAAAAATTAAAGGATAAAGAGAAGGTGTCAGAAGTGTACAAGGGGCATCTGGGTAGTACGGCTATTGGAAAATATCTTCCGTCTGTCTGTCTGTTTGTCTGTCAGTCTGTCTCTCTGTCTGTCTCTCTCTCTCTTGCACTCCATTTAGTGAAGATGAATATGCTTTATTTCTTCTACATAAATATTCTTAGGTATGATTAGAGTAAATCAGCGCTGCAGCATTCTGAAGTCGCAGCGTGAAAGGTGGACAGGCTTCAACATATCGATGGTGTTCTGAAAGTAACATCGCTGAATGTAATGCATGTCTTGGTACAGAAGGTATTGGGATTCTTAATGCCATTTTGATTATGAATAAATCTAGAATTGGGTTTTTGCAAAATGCCGTTATGTTAATACAGCCTTACGACTACGAAATTAAAATGAACTTCATGTGCAGTTCTTGTTGTCAGTGAACAAAACTTCCTTTGTGGAAATTCATTACTAATAGCTTGGCTGAACACACTTACCGTAATGGACAGAAAGAACTGGGCGATACTGTTTATCTCCTCCCGGCGTCGTTCATGACCTTGGGGAGTCCAAGGAGGGAGTTGATGAGTTCGGAGTTGCGCTTGTGAGGTCCCGCCGCGAAGGCCGAGGGTCCCTGGGCCACGCGCAGGATCTGCGCCGCCAACTCCGAAACCAGCTGTTAGTAACGTCACAGAGTTACACATATTCCGCCTCCGAAAATGCAACTAATTTCAAATATAATTTTTAGGGAATTACATTCCTGGCGGTGTATATCTGTGGTTGCCAACTTTGTTACGCCCGCACCCCTAAGAAATTTTTACTGTGTCCTTGCACCCCCTTTAGATTTATAGCTTATTTAAGGATAAAGGAGGTGCATTTATACTAAATTTGATCACAAAAAAAATGTACTTTTTCATTTTCTAATATGTTAGTAAAAATCACACATATGGACAATAGAATATGTCCTAGATTATTTGAATAAACCCTCTTCTCTTCCTGTTTCTTAATTATGAGTTATTGTCTTCGACACGGACACTTCACGCACCCCTTGGGATGCTATCTTACACACCTCATGAGTGCGAGCACCCCTGGTTGAGAAACCCTGGTGTAGATAGTCTGCATTTTTGTCTTGTATGACATTTTCAACAATCATACAAATCTAAGTTCAGCGCTTACCTCTCGTTCGAAGTACTTCATATTTCTCTCGGCCGTTGCTGCCTGGAGGGCCACAGCCATCACCACCAACAGGACAATAACTGCAACACCGCGCATCCTAGAAAACAAAGACACTGAATTCCAATTAACCCTTTTAGATACGAAAGAATACTCACACATATCAACCTGGCGCGACAGATGAGACACTCAAAATATCCAAATATTCCTACTTGATACAATGGACCGGAATCTGGAAGCTTATGCGTTATCGGGATCTGTGTGGAAGCTGCACTGATGCCGAGATGCTGTCGACCTCCTCTTTATATGCGCTTTCCGCCCATCCCTGATCACGCCCAGCCCCCCCCCCCCCCACCCTTGAGGATGTGGCTCAACAAAACAAACACGTTTTCGTTACGGAAGGACAAAGATTTTCTGATCGTGGCCTTAAAAAAAAATCCTTTCATTGAAAAATACAAGTTCGATCGTTTGGATACAAGTGATTTCAGTGTTTTCTATTGTAAGGGCACAATTCTGTCGCCATAAGACACATTAAGATAAAAATGTCCACCACCACACTATTTTCGTGCAAGAGAGAAGAGAGAGAGAGAGAGAGAGAGAGAGAGAGAGAGAGAGAGAGAGAGAGAGAAGAGAAGAAGAGAGAGAAGAGAGAAAGAGAGAGAGAGAGAGAGAAAGAGAGAGAAGAGAAAGAGAGAGAGAAGAGAAATATTTGCGCTGTTTTGTATCGAGGTAGATATATAGTTAGGTAGATAAAGAGAGAAAAAGATATAAAAAGATAGAGAAATAGATAGGAATATTTTGCGCTGTTTTGTATCGAGACGCTTACGGTCGAGTAGAATCCAAGGCGGGAGAGGAAGCGGAAACCAGGTTTTTGCACCTTCCCTCATCCATTTAATTTGCAACTTCAAAGAATAACTATAATGAATCTTTCGTGCTTGTCTTTTCGCATTTCCATGGCCTCTGTCTATGTTACGGACAGCACAGTCATACCACAATAATGTATTTATATCTATATTTCAATAAAATCTATATTCACAATATAAAGTGTGTATATACATATGTATGTGTGTGTACACACACACATACACATATGTGTGTGTGTGTGTGTGTGTATTTGTGTGTATGTATGTGTGTGTACGTGCGTGCGTGTGTGTGTGTTTGCTTGTATGTATGGATGTATACATATAAATACATACATAATATTATTATATATATATATATATATATATATATATATATATATATATACACATACATATATATGCACATATGCATACATATATACAAATGAATATTATAGTATTAAATTACATGTATGTATATATGTATGTACATATACATATGTATATATAATATATATTATATACATATATATATATATATAATATATATATATATATATATATATATATATATATATATATATATATATACATACATACAATATATATGTGTTATGTGTATGTATAATATATATATATATATATATATATATATATATATATATATATATATATATATATTATATAAATATAATATATATATAATATATATTATATATATATATATATAATATATATAATAATTATATATATTATATATGTGTGTGTTATATATATGTAATTGTATAATGTATTCATACATATATAATGATAAAGTGCACATATCCACTGAATCACTAAGCTATCTGATTATTATCTGAATTTTTAGTAATAGTGAATGTTAAGCATAAATCGTTTGTCGTAAACACATTTCTATATTTTCTAATGATGCCTAAATAAACTTTCTCAGTTGTGTTTTGACTCCTCTAAGAAATTCCAAATGCAATACAAATTACAGACATTAGTGCAAAAGGGAGCGTGAGTGCGCGTGCGTGTGTAGAGCGGAACCATCATATAAAGTGAAGCCGGGTATTGGTCGCTGTCAGTGCACCGTCGACGCCGATTGCAACACAGATCCAAGTAGGTTTCCTGTCGCTCATATATGAATATCACTGAAAAGGTGATCGTATGCCAGGTAGTTTTTTTTCTTTACCATGTGTTTATTTTCTAATGAAATATATATGTGAAATTATTTGCATTTCTTGTTCAGATGCATAGAGCCGTAGTCGCAGCCCTTCTTGGGTAGTGGTCATGAGCCTTCAACAAGATGGCTTCCGGGGAAAACCCTGAAACACTACAACGTGAGGCAAGTATGAAGCTTCTTGAAGCTTTATATATATATATATATATATATTATATAATATATATATATATATATATATATATATAATATAAATATAGAATTCTAATTTTACGTGGCTCGGAGAGACAAAATAGAAATATTGTTCTCAATTTCTATTACGACCAAACAGGTGGTTTCGGAGTTGGCGGCGCAGATCCTGCGCGTGGCCCAGGACCCTCGGCCTCGTGGCGGACCTCACAAACGCAACTCCGAACTCATCAACTCCCTCCTGGGGATCCCCAAGGTCATGAACGACGCCGGGAGGAGATAAACAGTGAAGGGAAATCTACTGCGTGCTACTGAAGGTTGTGAATAGGTGAATCAGCTTTAGAAGTATTGAACAATTATGATAATAATGTTGGCACTGAGATAATGAAGAGAACAATGATAATTAGAGTAATAGTAATAACGATAATGAAATGAAAGAAACAGTATTGATGCAATAGATATCATGACACATGTTTATCACATAAATAATGTAAAGGGACAATGATAAAATTATAATAATGATGATAATGATACTAGTAACTATACTAATTTATTCTTTTTATTAAATATATTAAATGCTTCTTTCCTCCACACAGGATAATGAACTTCATGGATACTTCCCATAAGACTCTATCCCTTTTTCTGATAAAAAAGTTGCAACGCTAATTTAATTTATAACTTTCCTGAGAAACTGAATAAAATGCATAACTAGAACACACTGTATTGGAACTTCCTATACACATGCATAAGTATCCTAGAAACCTTTATACTTTATCCAACAAACTCCTATCTTCCGACCAGAGAATGAAACAGAGAAAATGATGAAGTTATAATATTGCGATGAATGGTGTAAAATATAAAGCGAACTTGGGAGAGATAGAGAGGGAGAGGGAGAGAAAGAAAGAGAAAATTAAAGAAAAGAAAGCTAGAGAGAGAGGGAAAGGGGGAAGAGAATATATTATGATATATAATATATATAATAATAAATATATATAAATATAATATATATATAATATAATACATGATAGTCATACATTTATGGCATTACTGTACATGACCGTTTTATGAAATTATCATCATATTTATTGTCAATTTTCTAATAACACAATACATATACACATATATTTGTTGATGACATGCATATACATCTACGATGCACTAAACACACACAAATACACACACACATATACATTCACACACACAGACGTATACTTACGCTAACCAATACACACACAATTATTTCATGTGTAATCTAAAAATGACTATTAAGGAAACAAGGTCACTTTTGGGGCCTATAATGTTTTAGTAGATTTGAAGTATTGCGAATTTGCCATTTTTTTTTTTATAATCATTCTTATTCCCTTGTTTATTGAGCCCATTATGCTTCTTATATCATGATTTCCTTACATCAATGGTGAAGAAAAAAAATTGTCCTCTCTCTCTCTAAACTCACACACACACCTACTCTCTGAATAACACACACACACTCCTTCTCAACACACACACACACTCTCTCTTCACATACAACATAAGACCTCTCCTCCTTCATACACACATAGACCTCTCTCGCTCTCCCACATCACTCTTTTCAACATACACACATAACTCTTCTCCTCACACACCACACCCTCTTCCACACAACCTCTCTCACATACACCACATAACCTCCTCTCTTCTCTCTCACACTCACACTCTCTCACATACACACATAGACTCTCTCTCTCTCACACACTCACACTCTCTCTCTCACAACACTCCTTCTTTATGTATCTGTCGCTATACATGTATGCGTGTTTGCGTGTGGACGCGGGGGAGGTGGTGTAAGCATGCATTTAGTATCAAGCGTTTTTGCACAACAAAAATAAAGCAAGAAAAAGTTTAATAAACCTTTTAGTGCAAAGATTCAGTCAGTGTTTCAAAAAATAATCATGACTATGGGGCTTCTTTTAAAAAGACTTCCGATTTCGTGTACAAGATGTAGGCAAACTATATATATTCCTCCTTTTTACTATCATGAATTTACTATGTTCAAAGGAATACTCTTGTATGATAGAGCAAGAGAAGCGCTTCCGTGTGTGTTCATATTTATATACAAAAATAGATATTTATGCATATAAGTAAATAAATAAATATATATAATATGTCAAATATATAATGTATATATATAATATATATAATATATATATATATATATAATATATATATAATATATAGTGTGTGTGTGTGTGTGTGTGTGTGTGTGTGTGTGTGGTGTGTGTGTGGTGTGTGTGTGCGTGTGTGTGTGTTTGTGTATGTGTGTATGTGTACGTGTATGTACACACATATATACACATATACACAATATAACACACACATACATATATATGCATACACACACACACACAACACATATATGTGTGTGTATGCGTTATATATATGTGTATATGCACACCCACACCACACACACACACACACAACACACACACACACACACACACACACACACACACACACACACACACACACACACATATATAATATATAATATATATATATATATATATATATATAAATATATAAATTTACACACAAACGTAAAACATATACATCTAAATGTATATTCATATATGTGTATGTATGCATAAGTAAATATGTATTTATCATACAAAAATGTATATATTATGTATAATTATATATTGTAAACATACGCGTCCGCACGCACACATACACATATATACATATACACATTTGTGTGTAATAATGTATATGTTTATATACATACATACATGTGTATATATACACACAATATATATATATAATATTATATATATATATATATATATATTACATATATAAATATACATATATAAATATATAATACACTCACATATATATGTATATTAGATATACATACATACATTTATATATATGTATATGTATGTATATTCATATATATTGTATGTGTATGGATAGATGTGAATGAATATCTGTTACATCTGTCAGTGCTTCTGTATATATTCATATTAATCCACGAACGTATTCGTGGATAAATAAACCTTATATCTGTGCAACAGTACTTTATTTTTCCTTATTCACTTTTCCATTGATTTCGGTCAACAGCTGCGTCACGTGACATGCGATAATACAGGAATGTACTTCCGGTAAGAAATTTATTTGAAAGTTCTTGATGTATTATACAATTAGTTCATGTAATAATAATGCAAGCAGTTATAAAGAGTTGGTTTGGACACAAAGTTCCAGTGTTTCGTAATAGATATATATAGGTAATAATATGTCTTGCAAATGTTGCAACTTTTATTTAATCACGGAGGAGGAAGTATCTGATGAGCACCTTGTGTGGATGAAGCCGGCGTCGCCATGGCCAGGGTGTTCTGAAGGGGAGGAAGACAGTGGCATTCGTTGAAAAGAATTTTGAAAGACCGGTTTCCTATTCCTTTGACTTATTTAATGTTTCCAATTTCATGTTCGCCAATGAACTATTTATGTACAGAACTATGCGATATTCCCTATTTTCAACTTACAGTACATATATCTTTTGTTTGAAAAGATAACTGCGAATGGAAATTAGACTTTACCCAAAGTCAATAGACGGGTTTCCTTTTCATCTCCTCCCGGCGTCGTTCATGACCTTGGGGATCCCCAGGAGGGAGTTGATCAGCTCCGAGTTGCGCTTGTGAGGTCCCGCCACGAAGGCCGAGGGTCCCTGGGCCACGCGCAGGATCTGCGCCGCCAACTCGGACACCACCTGTTGGTCATAGAATACCGTCACATAGAAGTAAACATTGAACTGTGTAACATAAGTTTAAGATTTCATATCCTGCAAATATATTTTTAATCTACATATCACATCGGCACTTACCTCACGCTCATAGACCTGAGAGTTCTGGGCGAGTGTCAACTGAAGACCCACAGCCATCGCCACCACGAGGACGACCACAACGGCGCTGCGCATTCTGGGTAGATTCAATTGATCAGTTTTTCGTTCTGGTATTTTTCCACATCTGTCAAAACAATTCTAAACGGCCTGTAGAAACTTTTTGACTACGACTTGACTAGAAATAATAGTTATGACCCCATGAAACATAAAATTTGTGTCAGAGAGAGAGAGAGAGAGAGAGAGAGAGAGAGAGAGAGAGAGAGAGAGAGAGAGAGAGAGAGAGAGAGAGAGAGAGAGAGAGAGAGAGAATGATTAGCTCTAAGACCTCCTATAAAAGTCTCCCAAGTTAGGAGACTTATAGGTTGGGAGTCCCAGCCTACTTGTGTGTTATCAGGATCGGTTTCGAATCCGCAATGATACAAGACCCCGTCGACCTCCTCTTATATAGGACGCCTCATCCTCCGCAACTCGCCCACTCTTCCTCATGTTGTCGACCTCCTTCTATTGAGACGCACGCAAATTTAACAATCGTGAGGATTCTTTTAAAAGTGTTTTTATTTTGTCATTCCCAGACAGCGTTTATCATTTTAAAGTTTGTTACATTTTCCAGAAAGGGAGAAGGAAACAAAAAACGTCCTACACATTTTGCATTACTAAAATACCATTATTGCTACTATTTATAATTTGTTGATGATGTGACCAAAATACCCAAAAGGTTAATTTAAAATCTATTTTATTCATCAATTAACACTCATGTGTTTTCTTTACTCTTTCTCTAAAGATTGATCTTCCCTGTATATATAACACACGGACACAAACACACACACACATTTATCTATCTCTCTATATTTTATATATATATATGCCTATTCAAAGGCAGTGAGAGAGAAGGAAAAGGCAGTATCCTCTTTAGACACTATGAAAGGTCAAGCTTTTGAGAGAAGAGTAAGGAAAGAACTGAAAAGAGATTTAGGCGATGGGCAAAACACAGCTTAAACTAAATCTTTGAACATCTTGGTTAGCAGTGAGTTGGGGTTACTGAATTATACATTGAAAATATCACCATTATCATTATTACTAATATCATCGTTGCCATTATGATTCTTTTTAGCAATAGTGAATCTACAGGGTTACGTATAGATCGTTTATTGCAAACACTGCTGTATTTTCTAGATGAAGCATAAGTAAACTTTCTAAACTGTCTTTTAATTCCTCCAAGATATCCCTAGTGCTAGACCTTTTTCTTTAACCTGACAATGAGCGAAAGAGAGGTATTTTTCTGTGTATCTTCTTAAATGGATTGTGTATTCCTTGAACAGGATAATTATGGAAAGGACAATGATAAAACGATAAGGGTGATATCAATAACTATATTTTCTTCTTACTATTAAATGTACTAAATCTTTCCCCCACACAGGATAATGAACCACATTGATACTTCCCATAAGACTTCCATCCCTTTATTTTATAAGAAAAAAAAGGTGCAACACTAATTTATATTAATTTCCTGAGAAACAATAAAATACATAACTAAAGCACATTGTATTTGAACTTCCTATACACATGTACAAGTATCCTAAAAACTTTATGCATCAAACTCATATCTCCCGACCAATAATGGAAGTCATATAATGCAATGAATAATGGTATGTAATATATAGCGAACGTCGGAGAGATAGAAAGAGAGAGGGAGAGAGAAAAAGAAAAAGAATGAGAGAAAAGAAAGCTAGGGAGAGAAGGGGGAAGGGGGGACAGAGGCATAAGCAGAGAGAAGGAGGAAGAGATGCATAAAGAGAGATAGAGGTAAAATATGAAAAAAAAAACATATTTAGAGTGATATACAAATAGTCATATATTTTATGGTTTTATTGTGCATGATCCGGGCCCTTAGCTAATATAGCAAGCCTTATTGACTGCTCTGTTTTCTCTCATGCATTTTGACTTACTGTGTTTAAGATATTCTATTTAGAAATAGCTCTCGTGTTTTGAAATAATTATTCATTTTTTCATATACACATACATATATACATATTTGTATTCATTCATGCACGCATGCATGCTGATACACACACACATACATATATACACACATATTATGTATATATATATGTATATTCGTATATACACACGATTCTTTCACATGTAATCTAGAAATGTATGATAGGGGAATAAAGACACTTTTGGACACTAACGTTTGAGTAAATTTGAAGGATTGTGAATATGCCTTTCCTTGTCTCATTTCTTTGTTTCCGGTGAATGTGATTCCACTTTATATCTCATGATATCCATATCAACATAAAATGAAAGAAACAGTTTTCCCCCCTCTCTGTCTCTCGCACATTTTCTCTTTCTTACACACACGGACGCACGTCCGTGTGTGTAAGAACGGTGTGTGCGTGTTGGTTTGCGTTGGGGGCGGGGGCAGGGCCAGGGGCGGTGGTGTAAGTATGCATAGATAAAGCAAGAAAAATATCATTTAACTTTTTAGTGCAAAAATTCGGTCAGGGATTTAAAAAAATAAAAAATTATATGGCTTATAAAAATAATTCCAATATCGTGTACATTCCTCCTTTTTGCCATCATTAAATAACTATGTTAAAGGGAATACGCTTATATGGTACAGTAAGGGAAGTGCTTTCTTGTAAAAGGAATTATATACATATACATACATACATACATATATAAATAAATAAATATATATATATATATATAATATATATATATATATATATATATATATATATATATATATATATATATATATATATATATACGAAGTGTGTCAGAAAAGTTCCAGGACTGATATCACAATAGATATAAGAAAGATCGTCCACTGCGAGTTCTTGCCACAGGGCCGGACGATCAACCAACATCTCTACAAAGAGATACTGCAGCGTTTGCTTCGTTCAGTGCGTGAGAAGAGGCGAGAGTTGTGGCATGACAACTCGTGGCTGCTTCACCGTGACAACGCACCTACTCACAGTGCCCTGAGCATTCGACAGTTCCTGGCCGAGAAGAGCATCGTCGTGCTGGAGCAACCTCCCTCTGTGTGATATTTTCCTCTTCCCCAAGCTCAAGAGGGTCATCAAAAAGTCCGTGACGACGGAACTCCAGGAATACATACAAGCGTGACAGAGAGAAGATGAAAAGTGCATTAGACTCCAGGGGGTGTACTTTGAAGGGAAAAACTCTTAGTGTGAAGTTTGGGTTTGAAATAAATCCTTTGTGACATAAGTTCTGGAACATTTTTGACATACCTCATATTATATATTCAACACACATGCACACATATATGTATATATATTATGTATTTGAACGACTCCGTGTTGCACCTGTCTGTGCTTCTACGAACGCATTAGTGGACATATATACTTCTTTATATCTGTGTAACAGTAAATCAATTTCCTTTTTCAGTTATCAATAGATTCCGGTCAACAGCTGCGTCACGTGACGTGAGGAAGATATGTACTTCCTGGGAAGAAATTAATTTGAAAGTTAAAGTTGATGTATTGTATGATTGGCTCATGTAACAAGAATGTAAGTAATTATGTATATTTGGTTTGAACATAAAATTCCAATGAATGGCAATAGATATATTGGTAAAAATATGTCTTGTAAATGTT